GATCCTGATATTTGGTCCCTTTCACTTAGCTGTGGCAGCTAAGAAAGAACAGAAGGTAGAGAGCTGATCTACTTTTAGTTTCCACACTGATTTATGAGCGTCGTAATCACGCGACACTGCACTTCGTTCGATTCTCGGCAGACATTGAATTTTTTGGAACAAGATAAGTTAGATAAGTAAGAAATAAAATACCAATTTTTACCGTACCCCACACTTAGCACTAAATCTGTTACATGAGAAAAAGATTGGTAAGAAGGTGCATTGCGATAATGATCAATACTTATTACAAATCAATACGACCATTAGTATACGAGCGAGTGTTGATACATCTCAATCATTGTGTCAAGAGGTGCATATGCATAGATGGCGGCACTTTCAATACAAGCACTCTATATGCTCCGTACATGCCCTTTTTTTCAATATCCAATATACTTAAGACTCATAATACTAAACCTGCATAACTTAAGACTCACAATACTAATACTGCACAGGAGGTTGTGTGTTCGATCCGCGGGACCGGGAGAATATTTTTCTCGTTCTTATTTATTTTTTAAGAAAATTTTCTTGAAAAAGAAACTATGTGGTTTAGTATTGTGAGTCTTAAGTATACTGGATATTGAAAAAAAGGGCATGTACGGAGCACATAGAGTGCTTGTATTGAAAGTGCCGCCATCTATGCATATGCACCTCTTGATACAATGATTAAGATGTATCAAAATTCGCTTGTATACTATTGGTCGTATTAATTTCTAATTTACCGACAAGCATTAGAGTCACATAACTACAATACTTATTACGTTAAAGACCTTTATTAAGAATATCGTTTTTATAAGGCAAAGACGCGCAGACGTTTATGTTCGAGGCTCGTCGTGTACTTCCCCAAAAGCATCTCTCCTTGCTAACTCTTTCCTTCTTCCGGTTCTAAGGCCTCTTGTTACGAGATATAAAAAAAGGGAGCCTAAAGTTTCACCTATACTTCCGTACGTTACAGTCATGATAAAAAAATAACTTTTTTCTACTTTTACTTGGTAAAAGTCTAATTTTTAAGATGCGTTTCACATATTTTAGAGCTAACTTCATTAAAAAAAAAATTAAAAAAATTGTAGAAACAAGCTGCAACAAAAAATTGATAAATCCATAAGCTATCAAAAGTTTTTTGCATACAACATTTTTAATGCTTGACTAATTCTCCGAATAATTGTGTACAAATACATTTTTAGAATTCTTATATCTTAACACTTATACTTACAGTTGGGGTCTTTTGTAGTAAAAGTCTAATTTATAGAAACTATGACCTTGTCATTCATGAATTGTCATTAAAAAGCTGGGACTCATGTAAACTCTTTTCTGTTTATAATAAGCCATAAAGATAGGGTATTTTAGGTATTTAAAGTAATTTTTTAATATAAAAACTTTATTACCAGATTTTACACCAGTTATTATTTCTACTTCTTAATTGTTTTTAAATAATTTTGTTACATGTAGTCTAATGCCGTTTTCCAAGTCATTAAATATACTAAAGTTTCTTGTCAACTTAACAATAGCATCTACTTTTAAACTCAAAACAAGTGACGGTAAACCTTAATATATATTATTTAGAGTTTATATTGGAAAACTTATGTTTATACAATCATTAGTGCAATCATTACCATTACATTTTGCATAATCTACTGTAATAAGTATGTTCCATCCCTAGAATAAAATTCAAAATTATACCATTAGAAATATACGAATATTTGTTCTAAGTTGTTGAAATTTCTCTGTTTGGGCAGCTATTTGTACCATCCCTATTAATTGAGTTTAAATTTTTTATCAGTTTTCTATCTCTGAGGAATTTCAAAAGACATTATGGTTTCATTTACGATGTCTTTTAAGAATGATAAAAATTGTTAACACATACACCACATATATTTTATTAAATTTAAAAATTTTAAAGTGTTTCCATACAAATAAATACTTTATAGTTTCACTAACTATAGAAACTTTAAACCTATGTTTGACTACTTAAATTATTTGTCTAAAATCTTCTCCTACAAATAATATCCTTCCACAAAAGCAGAATCATTGTCACATAACTTTTTCAAAAGTTTTATTCACTATTTCCAAAGCTTTTTTAAAATATGTTTTAAACTTCGTCGTGAATGATGACATTGACTTTTTGTAATTTCTTCTATATTGGTTTCGTATTCGAAAAAAAAACTTACAATCTTCCTTAAATTTAACCGTAATAAAAATGTTCTATGACTTGTCCTTCCTTCATATAAATATAAGTTTCCTCTTTTGTAACAAATTAAGAAAAATTAATATTAAATACAAAAAAGTTTTTTAACAACCTCCTGGATCATCACTAAAAAATTACTTTGTATCACTATAATAGTTGTTGCAACACTTTGGCTCATCAAAACAACCCCCCCCCCCCTCTCGGGTAGGGATCTACTTTGACGAAGCCAAAGTGATGCATGTAAGTATTTGTGAGGTGGGAGTATGAAACACTGTCGAGTGGAGGGGAGAACATGCGAAATCTAAACGTCGCGGAAAGAGAGAAAGAGAGAGACGCGGAGAGAGAGAGAAAGACATACGAAATCTTGGAGACGCGGAGAGCGATCGGTGTCATATTATAAATATCCTATTACATACGAAGAATGATAATACAAGATGATTGTAAAGTGTGTATAAGAAAAGTGTGATCGAAGACACTATTTTTGGGGACTGCATGATTGATGGAAGTATTAGAGAGGAAAACACAGATTTACACACCACTGCTTGGATTGTCATTTTCTCAATTAGCCCCCAAAAATGGTGGAGCCAATCAGTGACTTTTGGACACTTCACCCACACTTTCCTTATGATCACTTTATTAATTAACGTAACCAGAGCGCTACCTCTCAGTGACTTGTCACCACACCATTACGTGAAATGCACGTAGATCGCTGAAACAAACCGATCAAGCGTACGAGCCGCTTTTCTGTATACTACTTAGCTTGTCCAAAACGAGATCATCGTGATGTCACGAGCGGTGTGCGGAGACTCGACTACGAACGTTCAGTTGAATTATTAGATGACCTCAAGCTAGCACACTCTTGAAAATGTTACAATCGACTTGTAGCTGCGACCATGAAAACGCTGGGTATGAAAATAATCATACATAGCAATATAGTATGCTATAGATATAAGATTAGAGGTAAATTGCGCGAGTAATGAGATCGTTTTTTAGCGAGCCACACGTCGACATAGCATGTCGACACTCTATAACCAAAAGTCAGCACATTCCTGAAAGTAAGACGTTGAATACTAACTATGTTATATAAGGTAACGATTGTTTTATAACTGTTCTTCTTAAATTCTTGAGAAATCAAGGTGATGGATACTCTATACAAAATAAACAGCACATTCCTAAAAAAATAAGGAGGTGACTGATTATTATGTGATATAGGATAACTTTTGTTTTATAATTTTAAAAACGAAGTGTTTGGCTTATTATATACGAGAGTCAGCGCATTCCCTGAAATAAAGCAACGATTCTTTTGATGACTAACAAAATGAGACGTCTTCCGACTCACGGGGGAAAAAGTCGACCAATCACAATTTCTTGCAAAAATATTATTCAGTTTTCAGTATCGTTTCAACATTAACAATGTAACCTATTATCATAGCTCATTTGATAAGCGTGCTTAGATGTTTGCTACGCGTTGCACTCATTCGTAAACCACACATTCGTACTATGTATGATAGCGCCTGGAGTAGTAATTTTCAATCGTTATCGATCAATATATTACTAAAAAAATTGTATTTTCTTGTCTTACATTGTCGAATAATAACCGTGAGTGACATGTTTAAACGTGATTTTTTTCATAATACAGTCGTTCACGTAGCTGTTGTAAAAGCTCTTCAAAAATTTGTCGATCGTAATCATCCATTGGCAAAAAATATCGTACGCTGTTACCGTAAATATACCTTAAAATTATTACTTTTGTTTACTTTCAGTCATTAAAAATTGAGTTTTACCTAGTGACAAGGCAAATGCAAATGATGATACACTTGGGGACGAATTAGTTTTCAATGTTGATACAATCATGGAATGTACACCAACCAGTATGAGTGGTAAGCGGACTGTATTACTATAGTAATTAATTAGGTATAATTTTTATATTTTTATTTGCAGAGGAAAATCCACAACCATTGACTAGCGGTTTAAATTGATCGATATACGAAGATATTAGTGGTGATGATGAAAACATTCATATACGGAAGAAGCAAGCGGAAAAGAAGATTGGAGTAATAATAGTAGTATTTTTTTTTTTTTTTTTTTTTTTGTGGGGAGAGGGGAAATGCATTGAGGCACACCGTAGGGACAGCAATAGTGTGGGACTCGGTGGATTTTTTTTATTGGACCACCCATATCCACTAAACCCCCCCCCCCCTCATGCCACGTGGCTTGAGTTTCACCCCGAAACCGCGTTAGCATTACTTCGGGGTGGAGCCACCAGGGAGACCATTGTGTCTCACAGCATTAACGAGCTAACTCGCCACTGTTTGCTAGAGGACCCAGTCCTCCCGAGTCCTGAGAAGGACTCGGGGCCCCGGAAGATTGGCACCCGTTCTCTAGCGCTACAAAATTTGTTGCTTCCCCATGCTGCCACCTAAACGGCAGCCTCGGCTTCCTGCGCGGCGGCTTTCTCCTCTTCCTTCTTGCGACGGACCACTGACCCGACGTAACCGTCCACTACCTTCCATCTCTCTTTGGTGCGAAGCATCTCAAAGATGATGTTTTCGGGAGTGGGTGTCAAGCCGAGCTTGTCAACTAGTTGCTGTCACTCACGGTGCCATCTCTCGCACACGAAGAAAGTGTGTTCGACGGTATCAACCACCGCGGGGCAGTAAGCACATCTGGGGAATGCTTTCACCGCCACGCGATGGAGATAGGCATCAAACTGACCATGCCCAGAGAAGAACTGAGTGAGGTAATAATTCACCTTTCCATGCCCTCTCTCCACTCATGGTCACAGGTTCAGGATCAGCCGGTGCGTCCATCTACCCACACTAGCCTGGTCCCACTCCTGTTGCCACGTCGTCAACATTTTCGCCAGCCTGTCACCATCACTTTCGTCACCGGAGCCCCGGAATTTCCTTCGCCGCTCCAGCGCAAGCAACGCGACCGGAATCGTTCGTGCTATCACCATAACAGCAGCAGAGGAAACCGTGCGGTACGCGGAAGCGATCCTTAGAGATCTGATGCACTGTACCAAAATAAGGCGCTCTCAGACGTCCCGTCTTGCAACCGCATACGCCCATACCTCCACGCCGTACAGCAGTATCAAGTTGGAGACCGAGGTCAGAAGCCGTCTTTGAGCCTCTCGTGGGCCCCCAACGTTTGGCATTAACCATGTAAGCGCTCCCGCAACCTTAGCGGCTTTGTCGGCTGCTCTCTTGATGTGCTACCAGAAGGTGATCCGAGAGTCGACCCACACCCCCAGGTAGCGCACAACCGGACTTACGCAGTTTGCCTCACCCGCAGTGTTCAAGCGAACGTCCCCACCGAAAAACCTTTTGCCTGGTAAGGACGACAATCTCTGTCTTGTCGATCGCAAGTACAAAACCGTGTTCCCGCAGCCACTCCGACACTATCGCGACCACCCACCGAATCTTGCGCTCGGCTTCCTCTCGGGATCTTGCTGTCACGTGCAGTGCTATGTCGTCAGCAAAACCCATCAGCTTGACCCCCAGAGGAATTTCAAGGCGCAAAAGTTCATTGTAGACCAGGTTTCATAAGTCAGGGCCAAGGGCGGAGCCCTGTGCGACTTTCAACGTCAGGCGCCTCTCTCTTCGTCCATCCTTTGTATCGTACCGGAGTACACGATCCTGGAGATAGCTATCCAGTATCTTGTGAAGGTATTCCGGTACATTCTGGCACCTCAAAGCCCTCATTATGTCAGACCATTTGGCCGAGTTGAAAGCGTTTCTAACGTTGAGAGTCACCAGGAAACAGGCGCTTCTCGTCTTATGTGAGGATTTTCATGCCTCCCTCACCGAACTCAAGGACCTCAGCCACAGCCATGACCGTCGATCGCCCCCCTCGAAACCCGTACTGATTATCCGAAAGACTGACTTCTCCTCTTAAACGAGTTTGTATCAGCCTCTTGAACATTTTTCTGGCATTATCCAGCATGCACAAAGGTCGGAGCGACGACGGAACCAAGGGGGGTGGTTTACCCTTGTCCAGAAGGACAAGCCTTTGGATCTTCCACCACTCGCTGAACAGTCCGTAGCGCAAAGACGCATTAAACATGTCCAGCAACAAGTGTGGTTTTTCCGCGTCTATGACCTTGAGGACTTCGGATGGCACCCCGTCTGGACCCGGGGCCTTGCGGCCCAGCGTCTCCGATACCACCGACCTCAATTGGCTCGAGGACAAAGAGAGGCACCTCGCCCACACTTATGTCCTCCCGCCTCCTCTCGGGATGCTTCGGAAAGATACAAGAGACTACCCTCTCCAAGAAGGAAAGCTCCATCGGCACCACCAGGTCCGAGCCGCAATGAGTTCGCACCAGCATCGGTTCTTGCTCACCTTGATCTTCCGCACCAGGATACTTTTTGCTTCCCTGTACGCAGCAACAGCCACCTCTGAGTCTTCGAGATTTCTGTGTCGCTGTGTAAGATGGCGTAGACGCTGTGTCTTCTGGCGCAGGTCAGCAATTTCTTTGGTCTACCAGTAGCACGAGCGCCGGCCCCGCCTGGCGGTTCTTTTGGGCATACACGTGTTACACCACTTCTTGACACGTCTAAAGACTTTATAGATGTTACTATAAATTCTCAAGTTTTCCATCATTGGCCATTGTGGATATCTTTTAGGCCTACTCGAAATTTTATTGTTGAAGATTTATGGAATGCTTTGTTTAATGCCGTCCAGAGTTCAAGTAACTTTGAAATTGATGAAAGTTTGTCAATTAATTGTGCCATTATAAGTGGTATCAGTGGAAGAGGACGTGTAACCTTGACTGAGAACAACGTACGGAAATAATTAATGTTAATCATTAATAACAATGATAATCTTTGTTTACCACAAGCTCTAGAGGCAGCTTACGCTTGCGTCGTCTGGGGAAAAATACGTACAGGTAGGCTACATAATAATTGGAACCTTATAAGACGCAATTACGGCCCACTCAAAAGAGAGCTGGCGAAGAGCTTTTGCGATTGACAAAAATTCGTGTGCCTGATACAGGGTTTGGCCTCGCAGGAGTTCACGAGTCAAAAAATTTTTTTTCTACCTACAAGACAGCAATTGTCGTTTATTCGTTTCGAAATTTTGGGCGTGGTCATCGTCCCCTGTATGATGGTACTCATTTAGTTTTAGAGACTCAAGAACAAATCGTTCATACGCTAAGATTAATGTACTATGAAAACACTGAGCATTGCGAGCCTATACTGAATTTGATCAGTGCAAGCGGTAGTTGTGGATACTGTATACCGTACAATAAGAGTTATTGGCGTATTGAGGATCACAAATGCTCCAACAAATTCTACAATTGTATGCAATCTCCTCTTTGCGATGTGATGGGTCCATCGAAAAAGTGTGATTCGTGCCACAGATTATTTTTTAACTTCACGTGTTTTGAAAATCATTTAAAAAAAGGTTCGTATAATAAATCTTTTACCGTTTGCGAAAAAATAAAAATTTGCCCATTATGTTGTAAAACTGTGCGAATAATAAACAAGAAATATAAACATCAATGCGGTATTTTTGTTGTTGCAATTATAAAGAGTACTTATCCGTAAATCATCAATAATACATTTAACCGTTAAAATTTGAACAGCGAAAAACATAATTTTTTGATATTTTTCTACGATTCTTAAACGCAACAGATGACACCCATCGCGGGTGATAAGGAAAAAAAAATCCACGAAGTAAATAAGTACATCTGTGTATCGTTCTACAAGTTTGTGATGCTTGTAGCAACGTACAAGATATTTCGAGAAGCTGCGATCATTGCGGCATTCGAGAATATATTTTTCAAACTAATCCAATCAAACAGTTGGTAGATCTTGCTTCAGATCATCAAAAATATTTTGACAAGATTATTTGCATAGCTCACAATGCACAAGGATTCGATGCTCAATTTATTTTTAAGTATAAAGTGGAAAAACACGGTGAACGCTTAGTACTATCCGTTATCATGAACGGATAAAAAATAATATTGATGGAATTTATGAAAATAAAATTTATCGATAGTCTTAATTACTTTCATATGCCTTTAAGCAGCTTATCCAAGTCGTACGATCTGTTGAAAATTGAAAAAAGTATTTTCCCATATTTTTTTAACAAGCCCGAAAATCAATCGTACATAGGTTCTCTACCACCGCTAGACGTATATTCACCCGATAGCATGCATACAAAAGATCGAGATCAGTTTTTAAAATGGTATAATGAACAAGTACAAAATAATTATGTATTTGACTTTAAAAATGGAATTATGAAATACTGTAGGCAAGACGTGAAAATTTTAAGATTAGCTCGTTTAGCTTTTCGAAAAACCTTTGAAAAATTCGAGGTAGACCCTTTTGGGAAATGCACAATGATCGCTTCGACCAGTATGCGTGTGTATAGAAAAAAATTTCTGAAAAAAAATCAATTTGATATAAACCACAAAAAGGATACAGAATGACTAACAATCAATCTGAAATTGCTTTAAAATGACTTTATTGGATGGAAAAACACGTTCTCCAGCGATTTATCGAACGCATTGGACACTGCCAAAAGAAACGCTTACCAGAAGGTATCCTCGTCGATACTGTACTCCTCTAGATGGTATGCATGATCAACGTGGAATCGTATTACAATTTCAAGGTTGCTTTTGGCACGGCTACCCACGGTGTTACTGAATAAACCGAGATACCATTTTGACGACCGGAGATACAATGGATGATAGATATAAGAAAACTTGCAAGATTAACGAAAAGATAAGAATGTCAAATTATGAGTTGATAGAAAAATGGGAATGCAACTTTAACCGAGAAATACGTGAAAATGAAGAACTTTCAAATTTTATTCGAGAAAATGAAAATTATTAAAGTAGAAAACCATTGGATCTACGTAATGCATTTCTTGGTGGATAAACAGGAAACACTGTAAAAATGTACGATTGTCAGAAACGTATGCTGTTTGTATCCATATATTTGCAAACGAGGTATATTCCCCTTTGGTCATCCAACGTTATACTCTAACGAAGAGGGGTTGAAAAAAATAATAGGTGACAATAATGACATTTCCCAAGTGAATGGATTAATTATGTGTGACGTGCTACCACCTGGAAATTTGTATCATCCTGTATTACCGGTGGAAATGCACGATAAGCTTATTTTTCCTTTGTGTCGTGCGTGTTGTGAGAATATGCTTCAAGAGCAATGTACCCATGACGATGAAAGAGACCGCATTCTAAGAGGTACGTGGGTATCCGAAGAAGTTAAGGTGGCTGTTCACGTATGTTATATCGTTAAAAATGTTTATGAAATATATATCAGGTAACACAGTACAATCAAAAAACGGACAAAGGAGGATTATTTGCACATTATATTAACGAGTTTTTAAAACAAAAAACACTAGCTTCGGGTTACCCACCTACCTGCATATCTAATGAGCAAAAGGAGTTTTATATCAACGAAATCCGTAGAACTAAAGGAATAAATCTCGACAAAAATGAGATAAACCTTAATGCTGGCTTATGATCCATTGCAAAATTATTACTCAATTCTTTGTGGGATGAACTTGGTCAACGTTAACATTCGACAAAGACTGAGGTGGTGATGGTCCCAGGGAGAATAATGGAATTACTTACGAGTGCAGAAATCGATGTAAATGATGTTTTACCCGTCAACGATGATACATCGTACGTTAACTGGAATTATAAGACTAAGGCCTTGACGTCATTACCATCAAGTAACGTTGTGGTTGCCGATTTTGTGACAGCACAAGCACGCTTAGAGCTTTTCGAGTATCTGCATTTTCTAGGAAAACGTGCTCTCTGTTATGACACAGATTCCGTTTTTTATGTTTCCCGAAAAGAACTCGACGATTTACCCATTGGCATGACACTAGGCAGTCTCACTGACGAATTGGCCGATAAAGGAGTTGGCGCACACATTTCTTCGTTTTTATCCGGCGGACCAAAGTTTTACGCATATAAGATTAAAAAACCTGACAGTAGCGAAGATTATGTTTGCAAAGTGAAAGGTATCAAATTGAATAACAGTAATAGTCAAAAGATAAATTATGATTCGATTCATGAGCTTGTTATGACTAATATAACGGAAATAAAGTTGTCGAATTTTTCCATTCGTCACACAATTTTTCACGATTTAGTGACTTAACCGGAAATAAAAACAT